GTCAGGGCTTATGAAAATGGCGGGATTCTACCATAGTAAGGAATGTAGATGTTTGCGGTGGCAATGGGGACTAGTAGGAATCTTCTGCTTACCTTTTCCCTACAAGTCTCTCCTATCTCTAGACGAAATCTGTTATAGGAAGGGGAGATGGGGCTGCGGAGGCTGGGTGTCTCCACACTACCCTCGTCAGCTCTCAATCACCAAGTGCCACATGTCTTAAGTCAATCATTGTGCTAAAGCCATCCTGCTAAAGTTAAGTGTATTTATTAATCCAACAACCAGACAGAGCAAAACAAAGAAATTCATTTTTTTTTAATTTGAAGATGACAGTGAAAAAGAATAAGTCTAAGATCTAGATTGGCAGGTTCCCATCACTCCTTAAAGACTCTTTGTCTCAACCTTTCAGCAAATTAACAATGACTAGCTTAATACACATAGCAGATTCTCAAAAATGTTCAGTGAAAGAATGGCCCTACCCAACACATAATATGAGAACTATCAATCTCTGGCAGGTGGCAGGGTGAGGGGGAGGACAGAAAAAAGATGGTAATAAGGAAATTCTCTAATAAACATTTTCTCCAGGAAAGTTGCACAGAGCATGAATTTTAGCTCTACTGATTTGCAATTTGTGATAAATCAAGTTGAAGCTATCTATGCTCAGTACTTTTAAAAGGGCATTATGATTAATAAACTAATTTATAGTTACTGGGCACTTACTATGCAAAAGACCACAAGCACAGTGCTTTTCACACAATATATCATTTAATCTTTAAATCAACTTTATCCAACATAAACTATTACCCTCATTTCCAGATGGGGGAAACTGAGGCTTAAAAATGTAAAGTAACTTGTCTGATATACTGCCCTAGAGTGAAGCAATTGGGCTTGTAAGCAAAGTTTGTCTAAATCCAAAGCTCTGTGACCTCAATATTTCATTTAGTACTTAAACAGTAAAACAAAATAACACTAATTAGCATCTGATACTCTTTCAAAATAGAACACAGAATATTTCATTTTAATAACTGTACATTTTTAAGAATTATATATTGAAAGTTAATGTACTAGTTACCAATCATTCTTTCAATTTCATTAAAAGAAGTCTCTTCCTTTATTATCCATTTCATTAACCTACTCTAGTTATTCTGTATATTTAAGCATAAAATTTAACTTTTCATAAAAATAAGTCCATAACTCATCTTTATATCAGAATATCATCTATTCTCAGCCCAAATTTCTGAAATGTTTACTATATTTTAATAAAAAGCAAATAATCTTATAACTTACTACTATAAGCTCTTAGCATGAAATAAGTTCACATACACTCTTTTTTACAAAAATGTGTGTTCACCCTCTCTTTTTCTCTCCCTCCTTCCGCTAACTTTAACTAAAAGCTGACTACTGCTCCAATATTTCCATAGCCTACACATTTCTTTTCAACATATGCTTTCTACTTAAGTCACAAAAAAAGGGACACAATGATAAATTTTAAAACCACGTTTAGGAAGAAGATGACTATATTTAGGTAATGAGCATAATAATCCAGCTTCATATGTCTTTCCATCACACCTCTCGCTTTGCCTTTAACCAGTGTGAAAAGTCTCTTTGTAAATTTTATTGCTTTTTAATATAACTATATTCCCCCAAAAGAAACAAAGTACACACTACAATACCATAACAAATATAACATCGGTTTGGACATAGAAATCAAAATATATTCAGGAGACTCAGAGTTAAAGCCTTAATAGGCTTAACTGCAGAAGGATCTTTCATTACGTGATTACATGAAATTGGGCCAGTGACAGATTATGTAGTAAATAATATTCAGGAAAATACTCATCTATAATATCTTTATCTTACATATATAACATTCTATGTGACTGCATACACTGTTATATAATCTCATTCTGAAAGAGCATTTTATAAATACATACAAAAGGGGTTGTAGCTAAGCCAAAAATAAAAAAAAAAAAAAACTCTTGACTTTTATGCTATTAAATCTCAAACATAACATTGTATTAATTTCTTACATAAATTCAAACAACTTATACGAATATTTGTTTTTAAAACCTGGGAATGCCACCACCAGTCCAGTCCAAGAGCCCATCTAACTCTAATAGCCTGTCTTTGACAATGACCAATGGTGGATGCCTCACAAGATAGCATATACATAACATAATGTACATAATTATGCACCACTACACCATTATCCCAAATGGCAGTTAGATTACATCCTGAAAGAAATTAAAATAAATTGTAACTCCTCTCCCTTAGAGACGCTATAATTTCTCATAAGGTAATGGGAAGCCTTCAATAAAGCACACACTTAACCATAATATAAGCCAATGCTTTGAATGACAACTAAACTGAGAAGCTGAACCCAGAAATAGAACTTAAGCTCATCAAAACATGATGTGCAAAAGGGGATTTTCAATGAACTGAAAAGCATTTGATTCACTCAATTAAAAAGAATTGTTTTTAAAAGAGATGAGCAAAATTTAAAGCTTTTAAAAAAGCAAACTACAATTTCTATCCAAGCCATAATATTTTATGATATGTAATATGGTTTTCCAGAGTGTATGATAATGTCTGTATTTTTCACACCTGTGTCATCATGGTTTTAAATTAAACCTGAACTTATGAAATGCTCATCTAGTGTGCAAAGCCACATAATGCAGAAATCTTGGTTTGGTCTTTCAGGAAGCATTGCTTCCCAAACAATTACAGAGGGAAAAAAAGGTACTACATTTTTTAAGACCTTTGGAAAAGACAATTCTCTTGGTAATATATGTACGTATTGATTTAACAACCCTTGCAGTCAGGAAATAATACCTGATCTAAACCCTCCATGGTAAAATCTGAAGTCATTTTCTCTTTTTCTGATGTCAAATAACTTGGAAAATACTGAGTCAGTCATGTGTGGCGTAACAATGTTTCCATCAACGATGGGCCACATATATGATAGTGGTCCCATAAGATTATAACAGAGCTTTTATAACATACTTTTGCTCTACCTTTTCTATGCTTAGACACATAAATACTCACCATTGTGTTATAACTGCCTACAGTATTCAGTATGTTAACATACAAGTTCGTAGCCTAGGAGCAACAGGATACCATATAGCTTAGGTATGTAGTAGGCCATACCATATAGATTTGTGTAAATACTCTCTCTATGTGACGGTAAATATTAAGTGTCAACTTCATTGAAGCATACAAAGTGTTGTTCCTAAGTGTGTCTGTGAGGGTATTACCAAAGGAGATTAACATTTGAGTCAGTGGACTGGGAGAGGCAGACCTATCCTTAATCTGAGTGGGCACTCTCTAATCAACTGTCATCATGGCTAGAATAAAGTAGATTTGCTGAGTCTTCTGGTCTCCATCTTTCTCCTGTGCTGGATGCTTCCTGCCCTCAAACATGAAACTCCAAGTTCGTTGGCTTTTGGATTCTTGGACTTACACTAATGGTTTGCCAGGAGCTCTCAGGCCTTCAGTCACAGACTGAAGGCTGCACTGTCGGCTTCCCTGCTTTTGAGGTTTTGGGACTCAGACTGATCCACTTCTGGCTTCCTTGCACCTTAACTTGCAGATGGCCTATTGTGGGACTTTATCTTGTGATTGTGTGAGTCAATTCTCCTTAATAAACTCCCTTTCACATACACCTATATCCTATTAGTTCTGTCCTTCTAGAGAAACCTAATATATACTCTATAATGTTCACACAATGAAACTGCCTAACAATACATTTCTTAAAATATATCCTGTTGTTAAGCAACACATGACTATATTTGAAAACCTTACTAATGTCTCTTTTTCTAAGTTACTGCACTGCAGGACTAGGAACCAAAATATAGTCATGTACTGAGTTCAGTTTTATAACTTTTCTCTATCTATCATAGCCCAAGAGACAGATCTTGAAATTACTTACAAACCCTAATTTTTACCAAGAACTGCTCTTCTCCCTAATACACTCTTTCTCAGGAAGAAAAAAAAAATCTATTTCAGAACAAACCCAAAAATTTAGAAAATGAAATTTATATGAGACATGAGCAAGAAACAATGCATACAAAATTCCAATATAGACACTTCTTCCTTTCCTAAAATAGGGGATCATTTAATGAAATGTATCACTCAAAACCTCTGGGACAGAGCTGAAACTGCAATGTAATATAAAATCTGCAGCTGTGTTGCTGTTCTTAATAGTCCACGCTGCTTTCTTAGACCACAGGAAGCCAAAACACACACTGTCAGAACTAAACTTACCTTCACAGGAATTGACTGAAGCAGTGAGGCAGTTATGATAGACCATGCATCAAAACAGTTATTGAAAAGATTGTATACACTCCTAGAATTTTCTACTCAAATAATCTGCTCACTCTAGAAAAGCTGTTTCCAAATATCAACTCTTTCTTTGTAGGAATTAAAACTATAGAATAGGCAAATGTGTTGGTAAGTCCTCAACTGGGCTGCCATAATAAAATGGCATAGACTAATGGCCTAAACCACAAATATTATTTCTCAAACTTCTGGTAACTAAAGTCCAAGATCAAGGTACTGACACTGACAGACTGAGCATCTAGTGAGGACATTCTTACTGGTTTGCAGACAGCCACCTTCTAGCCGTATCCTCACATGGCAGAGAAAATTATTATCTTTCGTGTCTCTTACAAAGATATTAATCCCATTCCTTTTTAATTAAATAGAGACAAGGGTCTCACTGTGTTGGCCAACCTTGACTCAAACTCCTGGACTCAAGCAATCCCCCTGCCTTGGCCTTCCAAAATGCTGGGACTACAGGCATTAGCCACTGTGTCCTGTCAGATTTCATTCTTAAGGACTCCACTCTGATGACCTAATTACCTCCCAAAAACCCCATCTCCAGATACCATCATTTTGGGGATTAGGTCTTCAACATATAAATTGGGGGTGGTGAGGGGACACAAACATTCTGTCCACAACAGCAAGTAAACTTTACCATACATAAATAAGCAGTAATAACTTACTTTTATTGCCTACCAAGGCAACCAGTGGCTGAGTTTCTGACTCCTCACTCACTTTCTTCACCACAGTATACCAATCTTCTAAATTCTCAAAGCTTTGATAATTTGTAATATCATACACCAAGAGGATTCCCTGTCACAAAAGAGTTACAAAATATTTGTAATGTATTACTTGGGGCAAAAATCTTAACGAATACTAGAGTAATCCTTCAGATATGTCAAAATGGGTGTAAAAATACAAATGTCGAGTGTTTCACAGTTACAACTTTCATTTAAATTGCTTACTAGCAGATTGATAATACTAAATGTTTTCCTTCAAGATAAATCCAGCAATTAGGATGCAATGTGAGCCAAAATATAATTCTATCAAAATTGTGGTCTTCCAATAAGATAGCTGGAATACGCTTGGTAAATGACAGAAAATATAAGAAAATCATTACCAATATCAAAGAAGCAGAAAAGGCTACAACACCTACAATTCTACCTCTCACTTTCATGAGGTCTAACATTTAAACCTTTCAATAAATAACCATCTGCTGCTACTCTTTTTAAATATTTTCAAAAACAGAGATTCCATGATACCCCTTGATAGGCAATTTAAGTGTTTAACACAATTTTCTTTAAATGAAATGTCTATTTCCTCTTTTAGTCCACTGTGCATTTGAAGAACTTGAGAGTATCTTTCTTAAACTAACCCTTTACATACTTGAAGACAGTTAGGTAACTCCGTTACCATCTCCTTTCCAGAGTAAACAAACTCGATGCCTTAAACTTGCCTCAAAGGGCCTATTTTTCTATCCCTTTAATCATAGCTGTTGATTCTTCCCAGGACACACTACATATAGTTTTTTGACATCCTCTTTAAAATGAGCAATGTAAAACTGGACATAATACTGTAATATGAGTCGGAGCAATGCCAAATATAATAGAAGGATTGCTTCCTGCCTCTTTATATAGCATATTCCTTTTAATTCATCTCATTATTTTGTGTAGGAAGGAGAATTATATATGCACACAAAAATAACAGTACCGCATTCTTGATTTTCATCCAGTTTGTGGTCAAACACTTAATACAAAGCTGTATATACAATATAAGCCTGGACCCTAATGTCATTTATGTCTATTTCTTAGTTTATAACAGTAGTAATCAACTACTTGTGTGTACCTACTGTATACCAGACACATTTCTAGGTCTTCTCATTAAAATCCTTACAACAATCCCAAAAGCCTGGTATTATCATTTCCATTTTAAATAATAAATGGAGATTAAAACAACCAAGGTCATACTGATAGGTAAGTGATGGAACCAGGATTTGAATCAAAGACTAAATAATTAAAAATATTTGTCTGTCGATTAAACTCTAAGCATTGTGCTGGATTCTACAGACATTAAGTTCCAAACCATAAAGAACTCACAGTCTTGCAGCAAAACTAAACACATAAACAAGTATATAACACAGTAGTCATGACCAATGAGACACTGGTAAATATTAATCAATTGGCTTGGGGTTCAGGGCCCAGCAGGGGTGACAGTTTGCTATAATGTTTGCCAATTTCCGCGATGCTCACCTATGGTCATTTTTAAGTTATCAATGTGACATCACTGAACATAGCATTGGAGAGGGCACCATTACATAACATGTCCACTATATAAATGTAGCAGATGTAAACAACCTCGAGCACACAGATAACAGAAATACATAGTAAAATAATTAGTGACAGAGATTAAGCATATAACACCTTTGTTTTAATACAATGTGTGAGCTTATATATAATTTTAAATTGTGAAAGTATTTAATAACTGGCTCATGAAAACTGCTAAAAAAATTAACAATTAACTCTCTGAAGCTAGAGCCAGAGAGCCCTGGCATACTTCTGTTATGACCTTCCAGGACTATTATTCTCTTTTATTAAACCATACTGGCCCCCAAGTCACCTAGCTTCTTCAGGTCTCAGGTTTCTTATCTCTAAAATTAGATATTTGAGTTAGATGGTCTCTAAGATACCTTTCACTTAAAATGTTCTATATTATTTATGCAAAATCACTCACCTGGTTCATTTTTGCAACTTGAACATCTATTTCTGTCTTCCAAGATACTTTGAAACAATGCCCAACATAGAATTAACTAAAACAAAGAGTATCTCACTTTCCTTATTAAGAATAAAGCCCCAGAACTGATCTCTGAAGGTTAATTTTCAATCTACTGAACCCACCTCCAACTGCCATGGGTGATATTATATATTACTTGTTGAAAAGAGCTCTCTATCGTGGAACACAGGTTACTGGTGAATTCCAGTCCTGGCCCCATCTATTGATCTTGGGCAAAACTTGTTATCTCACTTATAAAATATCTAATATGCCTACATTATAAAGTGAAATAATAAAAGTACTTATTTTAAAAGTAACATACCACATGCAATTGCAGATTTTTTTGTTATCATACTAAGTGAACAAGAATCACATTTTCATGGCAACTTCGAGGTAGGTTTTAAACTTACAAATAAAGCCTAAACCTATGACTCTTAAGACTTTTTGAACCCTTCCAATTAATATATGAAACCCTTCATCCCAACATGGGACAATATCTGAATATGGTAAAACAGATGCAAATGATCTACTGATACTACCATGCAAATGATCTACCATCTACTGACACTCAATACAGGATGAGAGATAGGGAACAAACATTAAAAACCATTGTTCTAGACCACAAATTGGTAAACTATGGCCCATGGGTCAAATCTGGTCCACACCCTGTATTTATAAATAAACTTTACTGAAATATATAGTCACACTCATTTGCTTAAGTATCAGTGGCTCCTTCTGTTCTACAATTACAAAGCTGAGTAGCTACAACAAAGACAACATGGCCTGCAAAGCATAAAATATTTACTATCTAGCTCTTTTCAGGAAAAAATTGCCAATCTCTGATCTAGACAAATGTATCCCGACATTTTTCAGTTGGTGATTCTTAGAAATTGTTCAGGATTCACAAAAAATATAGAAGGATAAACTCCTATTCACTCACCTAGCTATCTAGCAACATAAACATCTCCATTTAATGTAAAAACTATTATTATTTTTTCCTTGTTCTTGTCATCATAATTAGTGCCAATTTTGACCTTCACCACTGTGGTGAAATTCTGAAATGAAAAAAATGAGAAAACTAAAAATATTAAAATATAAAAGGAATTATAGGACTTCAACTTTCAACTCTGACATGTAAAAAAACTTGAAAGTCATCACTCCTGTCCTTACATAAGAAAAAGACAGAACAAACTGAAAAATCGGTGACTTTTCTTAGACTCATCAGAAAGTTGATATTGCAAGGCAAATCATCACTCTGAAATCTGGAGAGACAAACAAATCCAAAAAGTTACAGCCAAGATCTGCTTATCTGCAGAAGCAGCCAGTAGAAACAGTAAATGGTAGGAAGATTTAAATAGTAATTTTGACAAACTGCTGGAGGCTGATGGGGGTCTAGCTTAAGAGTGAGGAACTCCTAGGGGCCCCCACAGTCTTAAAGCCTACCTCCACACTTTCATGGATGTGCCACGACATTCCAAATGTCCCATTAGATTATCAGTAGAGAGTCAAGAAAGATCCCCTCAAGGCTCTGGGATGAAGAGAGGAAAAAAGTAACCATTGTGAAACATACCCAGAAGATTATCCATAAAAAAATCATACTCTATGTCCTATATTTTCTGAAAAAGTTAGAATAAAGTTGTTATTTTAAAAAAATGCTTGATAGCATTTACCAATGAAATCCATCAGTCTAGAATTTTCTTTGTGGAAATTTGTATAATATAAAATTGCTTTAAATTAAAAGAAAATTTAGATTTTTCTATTAGTCCTGTATTAATTTTGGCAAGTTGCATTTTTTTAACTAAATGTCACCATTCATTCTTGGTTGTCTAATTTACTGATAGAAGTTTTATCATTTTGTTGTCTTATACTTCTAGTGTTTATGAGATTTATAGTGATAATCTCCCACTTATAATTATGGTGATTTTGTTGTCTCCATTTTTTCAAAATTAGTCTCTAGGGGTTTAGAAATTTTTTTGATCACTTTAAAGTCTGTTTATATGTTTTATATTTGATTGATTTGTGCCCTTTTTCTTTTTTTCATTTTACGTATACTTTTTTCTATCATTTTGAAGTTGAACCTTAAGTCATTAGAGAACTTTTTTTATAACATAGTATTAATGCTATCAATTTCCTTAATTCACTGCATTAGCTAATTCTATAAATTTTATTATATTGTACTTCTGTTTGTCATACTCTAATTTAATTTATAATTTCTTTATTAATGTCATACTCTGATTTAATTTATAATTTCTTGTTTAAAAAAAAAAAATCATACTCTCCAGAAGAAAAGGCTTAATCAGAACATTGTATTCCATCCAGAAAGGGAAGTTCCCAACTTCAGCCCCTTGTAGCTGTTCTGTCTCATCTAACTGGGAGGAGCAAAGAAACACTTGTGAAGTTCACAGTCAAGAAATACAAGCCCACTAACGACTAAAACTTTATCACAAGAGCATAGAATGCTTCTCCTCCCCCATACTTTACCACATCACCAACAGGGCACCAACATCTAAAAGAGCTGCCAGACAGATTTTACCTAACAAGTTGTTAGAGACACCAAAAAAGACTCAGAGGCAAAAACAAGGGTGCTAGAGGACTCAATGCCTCTGGCACCCACAGCTAAAGTAAACATTAAATGCAGCACAAAGTAAAACCTCACACACAAGTCTATGTACCTGAATCTTATTAATATATCATGTCCAGCTTTCGATATAAAATTACTAGGAATTTCAAAAGGATTTGAAGAGAAAAAGCAAGCAGCAGAACCAGACCCAGATATGAAACAGATTTTGTAATTACTACACAGGCAATTTTAAGTAACTATGACTAATATATTGAGGGTTCTAAAGGAAAAGGAAAACATTTAAGCATAGAGAGGGATAATAAAACAAGGGATAATCAAAACAAAATACTAGATATCAAAAACACTGTAACAGAAATAAAGAATGCCATTGTTGGATACATTGTTGGTCAAAGCATAGGAAAAAAATCAGTAAGCTTGAAGATAGGATAATAGAAACTTCTAAAACAGAAATGCAAACAGAAAA